CTCTATTTAAAAAAAAAAGGAAGAAGAAAAAAGAAAAATTTAATGAATATACACACATACATGCTTGGTAACACACAGACTCAAAAAAGAGACACAGCCTTTGGCTCCATCCTGCCTCTGGGGAAGATAACTAGGTGGCTGTGTACAGAAGTTTTTCACTATGTGTTGTTTTGTACCACTTGAATCTTACATCACTTAAGTAACAAAAATACATCTTAAAATTTTAAATAAAAATAAAACATTAAAAGGCTATTGCAAGAGGGCAACACTTAACCTAAAGGACAGAATTTCAGGTAGGACACTGCTGAATCCTCCTCTGTTTCTGTACAGGACGCCAGTGATGATAATCAAGGAAACGTAATTGAGCTAGGGACTCAAACACCCAAGTTATCAGAGGTGGCCTTGCAAACTTGGCCTTTGTGTTAGACTGGGTTCTCTAGAGAAGTAAAACTTATAGACAGAGAGAGAAAAAAAAATTTATCTTAGGAAAATGTCTCTCACACTTATAGAAGCTGGCAAGTCCCAAATTCTTGCATCAAATGTCAAGTTAGAGGCTTTTCCTGACTCATGCAGCTGCAGGGGCTGAGGAGCTCAAGGTTGGCAGGCAGTGTACTGGCTGTTGACGCCAATGAATGACGAATCCAAGATCTCCAGGCTGAATGGTGGATTGTTCGCTCATGGACAGCTGTAGGCAGCACAACAGAATCCCAATCCACAGAAGAATGTCTCTTTTCCCAGGATGTCCATAAATATAATGGAAGCAGGCCACACCCTTAGGGAAACTCCTTTTCAACAGATTGGCTGCTCAAAACATATACATCTGATCCCACCATTGGAATAAGCCACATCACAATTGCTTAATCCACACAGAATCGTGGTCCAGCCAAGCTGACACACTACTCCAACTATCACAGTTGTTGTTGTTGTTGTTGTTACGTTCCATCAAGTCGGACCCGACTCATAGCAACCCCTCCTTGGGTTTCTGAGGCAGTATCACTACGAAAGTAGATTGCCCCATCTTCCTTCCGAGGAGAGGCTGGTGGGTTTGAACCACCAGCCTTCTGGTTAGCAGGCAAGTGCCTTAGGCACTATCACAGTTGGCAGTTCTATATATCTTCTTAACCATATATAATCTCTAAATAAGAATAATTATAAAGTCATATTTGTGCCTAATATGATACGCTAATACACGTACAACTGAAACACATTAACATTATTTACATTTCACAGTTCATAACAGAAGGAAACAA